ACTTAATAGCCTTTTATAAAGCGTTAATTAATAATAATAAAGGTTTTAAGTTACACTTATATAAGTATTATATAAAGTAAAATATAATACTTTAACACTTAATTAATAATAATAATTATTATAATTTAATGTAAAGAAAGTAAGCTATATAAGTCTTATTTAGGTACTTAAAAACACCTAATATTTTTAATAGATAATTATAGGTACCCTATTTTCCCCTATAAATCCATTTAAGTCTTTTTTTCCTACCTATACCTACCCAAAGCCCACGGGTAAGCAACCTACACGGGTACCCGTGGACCTTTTACACCCTAGCGCCGACTCTGGCGCGTCGTTGCTTGGATGCTAGCAGGCGTTGCTGGTCTAGTGCCGCGCCGGTATTCGTACTTGACTTGTTCAACGACGCGTCGAGAAAGCTATTCGCGATCCTCGCTTAGTCGTGATTTCATTTAATGGCTTAGTCATGATCAACCCATGTCCCCTGGCCGGATAGGAGTTTCTTGTACAACCAGGCCTATCCCCACAAGACGAGAGCGATTCCTGGGTTGGTATTTCAAGTCCTTGACGGGACGTTAACTTATATCGGACATGACCTGCCGACTACCTCTTGGAGATTGTTAAATGCAATAACATTCCGGTGCTGGGCGAATCCACGAACCACACGCTTTCCAACAACGAATAGAAATAGTACGGCAATTTACAAAGGAAGTTCAATTCATGATGCTGATGATGTTGATGATTGAATCGACGAGTGAAAAACCATGTAAATTTGACCGCTTTTGTACCTATCCCCTGAAAATCCCTGTTAGAGCTCCTTTTGACCCGGTCCTAGAAAAAGCAACTGTCACGACCACCAGGCTCAAAAGAGCCCCCTTTATTCCAACAGATATATATAAAAAATGCACCCTTTAGATAGGAATATGCGCCGTACACAGCTGGGTATACAGGAAGCGGGAAAGCATTTGCCCTGGAACGGCATGTATTCAAACTACCGAGTGGCCTCAACCGCCAACCTGTCTACATTTATCTGATCAAACCGATTAGATCCTGACGCTTGGCGCCCTCCTTTGTCCCCACGGCAATCAGAGCGACGTGTCCATCCCCGTTTGAACTCAACTTAATCGGACCTCCGGGCCATTGGCCAGTCAGGCCCAAGGATGAGTTTGTCAAGGATTGCAAGATTGCCTCATCCATCATGGGCGGAGCCCCATATCGAACCTTGCGCCGTCCGCCATACTGGGTTGGTAAATCATCCATGTCGACAACGGCAGCCAGTGCGGCCGGGACCTGGCCCGGGTAGAGGACTTCAACCTTGGAGGCGGTCCGCGGGTCGATCAACTTGCTGACGAAGCTCCATATCGCGCCAAAGTACGAGGGTGCATTGATCGCCTGACGAGCTGACGTTAGCGGGCCTCGTCAGACAATGCTCCTTTGTGGGAGACCCAAGGTCTGTACATACGTATATCCGATCGATGACCTCTGGGAAACATGTTGAGAGCAGCATGCTAAAGTCTTGGATGTACATTCGCAGGTTCCAAGCTTGCTTCAACGTCATGCCAGAAACGTCTGCGATGTACACGGCGCTTGAAATCGCCGTACCTGGCTGTTTTCGGTCAAGCATCGCCGAGCACACTGGGAAAACGAACCTGGTTAGATAGTCGTGGATGACGATTGCCTGCTCCATTGTACTCGACACGGCAGCGTCACCTCTACGGGCGGACACATTTCTGTCTTTGTTGTACTTTTGAATGACGCCGTCGTCTAGGTGGCGAGTGTCGAAAATGCAGATGGGCTTGCCAGACTTGTCTCGGTAGCCACACCAGTGAGGGTACTGCAGATTGTCGATTAGCCGGTGGCTCAACATTCGTCGAGTATTTTGGCTGGGATAGCCTACTAGCTTTCTTTTCTCTTCAAAGTCGCCGATATCGATGGTGTCGTACGTGGCGATAACATCGGCCGATTGTCGAATAGCCGATGCATCCTTGAGCTGCGCATATGCTCGATCGACGTCAAAGGACTTGCCTCGCAGGAATCGCCTATTGTCTTGTTAGCACGGTACGATATGCCCGTGGTGTGCATGACTAACAGCAGAGTATGTTCGTCGGTTAAGCCGTCAATAAGGTCCCCGTGTTGCAGGCCCTCTGGTCTTTGAAGAAGCTTCTTCTGGTAGCACAGGTTGCTAAAGCTATCCAAACATGTCTGTTTGTCTTCTGCGAGTGTGCCTGATGTGGCCTGAAGCGGTCTCGTCTTCATGGTAGGCGGCGAAGAGTGCGTTCAAGGACAGAGTATGTGGCGAGCAGAAGGAGAACAAGGTCGCGAACCCGCATCATTTGTGAACTTGTTTCGACCAGCAAGACCCTTGAACTCGCTGACCGCCGGCTGCAGTCTTCACAGTCATGTCTTCACGGCTCGTCACAAAATACAGATCAGCCTCACCCCGCTTCATCCCCCTGGCCACCCGGCTTTGCTTTTTTCTCCAGCCGTTCAGCCAAGATGTTGGGCATGTCTTGGAATCGGCTTTGCAGAGGTGAAAAATCCATTGGATAGCGTCCCGGCCCTGCTCAACGGGACCCTCTTGAACACATTGTACGGAGCATTAGACACGTCAAACAGCTGCTCAGGGTGATAGGGCGAGCTCCTGCTATAGCCCTCATTATTGAGTCCTCAATCTTGTCACATCATCATATGCGAGAGATAGATAAGCATATCTTATTGAGACAGTGGCGGCGCCGCATATTCAAGGATGCTACGGAGGTTTCTCCGCGTTGGGATTTCGACGATGTAGTACTCCGTAGTTGGGTGGAACACAAGCCGCATGGATTCTGCGACGGTAATCAACAGGGTGCCGTTCCGAAGACGCTACATTTGTGATTGTATCGGTCTACGTACTCGGCACACCACAATGTCAACGGAAAAGGCTCTCTTTCAATGGAAAAAGGCTGCTAATGAAGCCATCAAAAGCCTCATGAAGGCTCGCACCACGGCCGTGTTGAAGTCGGACCTTCAGTACAGCTAAATTCCTCACTGATGACCTTCAGATATATATAAAATGAATGCCCTCAATCATTCAGCTAGATAGCTTCAATTCCAAGGACTAATGCGCTGTTCAATGAGCCCATAGTTTATCGTGATACACAATACGTCGTAAAGTAACTGAAAAAATACCTTGGCTTTTTCTGCTTTAGTGCCCGTGAACATGGATGCAAATCACCCATCGATTACGGAGTAGACCTCCCAGATAACGCGGATGCTATAGCTGAGAGAATCCCATCGTGAACCAGTGACTTTAATGAAAACCATGGAGCACCTTTTGACAGAGATACAGGGAGTGAAAGTATGATAACCGGTTGAGGCGTGGCCTGAAACCAGAGAGTTGGGTTCTTCAATATCCACTTCTCACCCAGTCTATCTTACACCGCAGATAACAAGGGCTGGGTTGTAGGGCAGGGGATTGGGACTGAATATGACGTATTCCAAAAAGAGGACTCAGATTGCAAGAAACTGACGTAGCCAACTTGAGCGTCGAGGGTACACATTCAGCCGCATCTCACTGTCCTCTAAACATATGAGGAATCAGTAGTGTATTTTTAAACAAGTAATTCTTATGGCGAGCCATCGAGTCAGAAGCCACAATATCCACCTGAATTCCTCCGGGCAGAACTTCTACGAGGGGAGAGTAGCTGCCGGAAACTTCGTACGTCGTATAATCAACGTCATGCAAAAACAGGGGTGAGTATGGCCCCTTTAACCTCGCAACGTAGTCAATCTCACCGACGCAAGAACCCAACAGGAAAAGAATTCGTAGACGCTCAGCCAACCTGTCCCGCCGAGACTTCCCTCCATGTCACCGAAATTCTTTCGAGCGGTTCCGCAGCTGCATAGAATGTTTCTCCTGGGCAGGCAGTTCCTTATAATTGTCCTTGCAATAACATTCAGGACACTGGGTTCGCTCATGATGCCTCCAAAGTTCCACAGCAACAGCCCAGTTTTTGGCAGAGACCCCCCTGGTGCGGCGATACTTCCTCGCAAAAGGCTTCCAGTGTTTGCTGTCCCGCAGCCGGTACTGCAAGCAGTCAGTGCATAGCCCAAACTTCCCGTTACTTGTCCAGTTGTATCGGTCGACCAGAGGCTGGAAGCGCCGGATGAGCATATATATCATGCTGCAGGAGGAAGGTCGAGTATATCTATGCTTGGCTACCGAGGGCACCATGATTGTCAACATGGCTGACACCTGGAGAAGGCGTTTGCTCGCGAGGGCGAGGCAGACTGCGTCGATTGGCTTCGCTTGTTCGAAGATGCGAAGCAGGATTTCGGTCGGCAAGCGCAGGAGAGCGCAAGACAGTGCCGAAGGCCCAGATAAGAGCTGCGCTCACGACGTGTCAGTAATGTCTGGTGAATCCAGATGGCGAAAGAGGGGACCACGAAGTTCGAACCTCTGGAGGCTTCCTGAAGCGCGTGAGACAAGATTGCCCTGGCGTTTCTAAACACATATTTTGGAGCAACTTTTCTACATGATTGAAAGATGAAGCGTGAGTGCATATCAAATACGTGGACTTGCGAGGCAGTGAATTCACGCTTGGGCGGCCAAGCAACTGGTTGTACAGGCAACAACGTTGAAGCGCGTGAAGCACGCGCCTCAACGCGTAATCGCGACGTCATCACGTCCGCGTGCATCAGAGAACCTAAACGCGAATACAATTACGCAGAGCAGAGAATAAAGGTCTGGTATGTACAAGCAGTACTCGACGCGGGGAAAACCAGACACGACCAGAAACCCGAACCTAGCAAGCATGTCAACGAATGCGGTCGTGTTAAATTGCTCAACATTGGACAAAGGTTGGCGTTGGCCGCACACACACACGGGCAAGCAGTTTCGCACATTTTCCTCCCAGATTTCGTGCCCACGGCTCTAGTTTCCTTTTGTTAGTCTCAATCCTTTATCATGACGAACCGAGCTTCAGAGTTGAGTCAAAGCGATTCCCTCAAACCACGTGTTGCTGGCTTCAACAGTAGACAATTTTGGCACAGGTTCACCTTTGGCCATGAACTATGCACTGCAGGCAACTGGCGGCCAAGTTTATCAGTTGGAAATGTGAAGCTTACTTATCGTTGACCTTCAAGTTGATTCTATTGAGTTTTAAAGGATGTGTATTGCTCAAGAGATCTTTGGCTGTTGAATACCACAAACACAAACATCCGAAGGAAAGGCGCCACCAAGGCCAAGTAGGGAAGAAAAGAGCGCAAGGGGATGAAATGCTACATGGATTGTTGAAAGCCACAAACATGAAGAAAATCCCATTTCATAATTTTCGCCTCTTTGGCGATCCGTGTCTCAAAACCCGTTGGAGTAGAATTCAATTTGGGAAAGTAGGCAGCTCCTCGAGGCTGTGCAATGGACTTGATGATGCTGAAACTACTTTCCTAGCATGGGAGAAGATTCTGTATGCTTCACAGGTCTCAAGTAAAGGCTGTCCGTCGAGAAGGAGCTCTCGATTGTGAACGGGCCTGCCCTGGTAATGAGCACCGGACTTGGTCCTACTGCAGGTGACGTTGTAGTGGCGTTTAACACGAGTCCTCAAGCACTTCAGGTCAATTATTCCGGGAACAGCAGGACTGGGACCTTTAGCGTAAGCGGCATAGTCAGCCGTTGCGATCCAATCTGTTGTCGTGAACTGACCAGGCTCCAAGTCTTGGGGCAGCCAAGTAGGATCGTGGGCAAGAACTGTGGAAAGGAGTTCGGACATCTCAAACTCAGTCAGAACCTCTTGACGAAGATTCTTGTCTGTCAATGCGAAGACGTCCTGAACCTCAAGGTCCAGGATAGTTTAAGAAAATATGGAGACAAAGTCTGCATACGGGCTGAGGCCTGCCCCTGGCTCGGTGGTGTATTCATATGCAATCATGTTACCTCCCGGGGGCCGGGGCCACCATGGAATACAAGCCACGCAAGTGAGTGCAGTCATCGGGCTTGCGAGGGCTGCAGAGCACAAATTCAGCTCGAGCTAGTCCCTTGATGGCCTCGTAGACCATAATCCGACCTTCTGGGATGTCGAAGTGTTTATGGATGAGATGAAGGGAAAAGTGCTCTGAAAGGCCATGCGAGGCAACGAATCCGATGAGCTTAGCGTGGGCCATAACATTGTCAGCCGCCGCATCCCTCATAGAGTCGATATGGGGCAGTTTGTTTTACAATGCCGCGGGCAGTGGTCCTTCATCAGGTTGACATTTCTGAGCCTGTTCCTGTCGGGACGCATGTTTACAAGATGAGTTGCGACGTAGCCAAGATTTCTGAAGAAAGAGATGGGGACCTCGAACGAAACAAAGACGCCAGATATTTATCATCAAAGCCATTCTAAAGCCTGCTTCATTCCGATGCTCTGCATGTCGGCTCTACCCCTATACTCTTAGTCAACGTATGTCTTTATACGCTGGTACCTTTTAGCATCCATAACTTGACTGAGATACAGCAGCTTTGTAGCCAGACTTCAACTAAATGCTGCAAGAGCCGAAACCGCAGGTGTGTCTGTTTTAAATTTGAGCAGTGATACCTGCAGCTACATGTCCCCAAAATGACAGCTGTAATCTATCAGACGACCAAAATCTGCCTACAAACCGGCAGACAACCCGACTAGCTATACGGAGTAGTTGAAATTATTTATGGCGCCCTTAATCGGTTTTATTAAACGCTTTAAATGGGAGTCAGCTTGGAGTGAGCGTACGTGAGGTATATAGGGCTATAACTAATAAATTAAAAGCTTATTTACCTAGTACCTAGTAAGTATAATATATAGTCCCTGATTCTAGTGATGGTAGAGTTATCATATAAATAACTGCTAATTAGCTGTATTGGTATTAGGCCACATACCGCGCACTACTTACGTGTGAGGACAATTATCGAGTAACAATGAGGGGGCTGTTACATGGAGTACGGAGTAGACCGAGATATCTAAGGTAAATAAGACTCCGGTGGAGGACTAATCATGCATCAATACAATCAATTTCCACCGCTATGGGTTACAGGAGGTACAAATCGCAGGGTGTCAACTATCCATATGTATATGTGCGGGTCTATATTAACCAATCACCGCATGGCACGGATACCAGCGGCACTTGGCTTGTGCATCCGGGCTGCAAGTAACTTAACATTTTTCTGCACTCGCCAAGGGCCCAATTTCAGGTCAACTAGTTTTCCATTCCCCCAGACTTCGACGCCGTTTTTTATCATCATGGTTATCACCGTCACATCCAATGCGGACCTCCCAAAATGCATAAATACGGAAGCAAAGCAAGCTAAAAAGGCCAAGCAGCTGGCTCAGCTGTACACTGATATCCCAGCCAAGAAAGCTCGCGGCCCGCCAATCCAGGGCTTCTTCAGCAGAACTATGATAGTGACGCTGCAAAATGGTGACGAAGTCGTAATCCAATTTCGCCCCGAGCCGATGGATCTGCACCCTTTCAAGCTGGCACGGCAGTGCCTTGGGTCGGCAGTTCCACATATCGAGCGCGTCCAGGACGAAGAGCTCCAAGAAGACGATATCTGGGTGTATGCCATGACACGCATTCCCGGCAAGCCATGGTCTGAAGGCGTAAGAGGGAAAGGCCCAGAGGCAATCATCACCATTAACAAGACACTCGGCAAGATCCTCTCTAGAGGATATGTCAAGGCCAACAGCGATGACGTTGTCCATGACAAGGTCCGGCCCCATTTGGAGCAGCTTCTGTCTTCTCAAGAAGAAAGTGCCGCTCCATTCAAACATGTAGCCAACGATCTCCTTGGCAGGTTGGATCAAATCAAGGTGCTTCCGTTGTTCATCGCCCACTTTGACCTAAACGCCATGAATATTCTCGTGAATGAGACCTGCGAGGTATCTGGCATTGTCGACTGGGAGTTGTCGACGCCACTCCCTTTTGGCATGGGCTTCGGCCGCATCCATGACCTCGCTGGAGAATTCTCCGAGGGCGAGTTTCATGTAACCGACCAATTTGAGGAAGCCGAGCGAGGATTTTGGCATGAGGTTATCGAGGGTGTTCCGGAACATATTCGGAGAGTCCTCGAGGAGAATTTTGATGCAGTCCAAACTGCCGTCATGGTTGGGACTTTGCTGGATGCGTTTGAGATTATGGACGGCGAAGTCGGTTCATGTAACCCGGTGGCTGCGAAGGCTCTTCCGAAACTCCTCTCTTACCGGGTGCCTTTTATCAGAGGGACGGATCCGCCTTACTCCAAGTAGGCAGAAAGTGTTTTTGATCAAGAAAGCGAAGAGGCTGCCGGGGCCCCAGGGCATGTATTGTGTGCCAGTCTACATCAAAGCAGGAATCTTGGCCAGATGATACGAAGAAACCGGCCTTGATGCAAGTCCTCTTAAGCTATAAACAGAGAATTGCGTGTGCCACTGATAAAAGGGAGGCTCGGCCCTACACAACGCCCTTCTCATTATCTATTATTCACTCCTCGTGTAGCCTGATACCTAATACAAATAGGAAAGTGTTATCCCGTGCCAACAGACAACAACGGTCATCGGGTGGTAGTACCCGACCCCAGTTGTCACACTTGTCCCCTTAGACACTCTACTGCTGAGCTACAAATCGAACCCGTGTGCCGCTTTGTCCCGTGTACGGGTCTACTACAGACTCCTCGAGGCCGGTTAGCCGCAGCTTATCACAGCCCTTCCTGTACTCGTGGTCCGCGACAAAGGCGGTAGGCGAAACCCCCTCCACTGGGCCGCGGGTAGCAATCGCCACGGGATCATATCCGAGAACATCATCGTCGGAGCCGGCCTTCCAACGACGCCATGTGCCCGTCATGGACGCCAACAGCGGCACCAGAAGGATCAAGAGCACGAGCTGGTTGTACACGTATGCTCTGGTGGTGGTGCGGTTCGTCGTCACCACGTCGCTGGCGTTGGGCATCCTCGCAAAGGCCCCCATGGTTGCCCAGTCAAAGTTCTGCTCGATCTGGCGCGCGACGTGTTGGGCGTCGTTGGAGGCATCGTCGCCTAACAGCCCCGAAGCAAACGGCTCTCGGTACATGTCGTTGAAGCCAGTGCCCACAACTCGCAGAGTAAAGGAGTACGGCGACGTCGCGTTATTTTCGCCCCATGTATAGGTGCGCACGCCGGAGATTGGGGATGAATAGTTGCCCAGGAGATATCGGGACCTTTTGAACGAGCTTCGATCCAGCTGCGGGGGATTCTCGCCTCTCTGGGTGATGGTAACGTTGCCATACTGAACCAGGCAGCTGACCGTGTTGATGAGGTTTTTGTTGCCGACGCCAAAGTCGGCGCCGCCTACCCAGGCTCCGAATATGACGGACCATGATCCGGGAGACTTGATACATGCGGTAGGCTTGGAGGAGGAGTCGGAGCCAGACTCGCAGTTGTAGTCCAGCCCGGTCTTGAAGTTTGCATAGACGGACGGCGCGCCGCAGGTCAAGTTGACGCACATGGACGGAACGATGTTGCTGCAGAGGTCGGTGACACCGGCCGACCCGGTGGTGCCGGCGCCGCACGACGGCAGGCCCATGTTCTTGGTGTTGGCCATGGTGCGGGCATCACAGGTGGCGAGGAGAGCAGACGAAGTCGTCGAGACGCTGCAGGAGTCGTCGGCGCACACGGGAGCGACTGGTGGCGCGAAGTTGCCGTTGGAGGCTTGCACGGCCATGCCAAAGACGAGATCACCCGCGCTGCCTCCACGGGAGCGATAGTTTCCCCTGTTGATCCAAGGGGCCCAGTAATCTGCTGCGTGGGAGGAGGTGGTGGAAGAGACCTTGACAAGGTCCGTCTGCGAAATGCCCGCCAAGAGGACGGGGCTCACGATGTAGACGGCGAGGAGCAGCAAGCCGCTCATCCTGATGAGCCAGAACCCGCCGCTGACGGCGTAGGCGAGCCTCGCCAGAGGGGAGACGGTCCATTGCGCAAGGGATCGGGTCTCACGCACAGTCAGCGGGCTGCCAACGAGGCGAGGAACGAGCTTGAGCCATAAGGAGTGCTCGACGCAGCGCGTGATGAAGGCAGACGTGGCGGCAGCGAGAACCGTGGTGATCAAACTCACGGCTACCGAGGGCTTGATGGACGAAGAGCCGTCTACATAGACGAGGGATGAGATACGGTACAGTTTTGGCTGGACGTAGAGGATAATGAGCAGAGTGTAGCAGGCAAGAATGACGAGGGCCAATGAGGCTGTGAAGAGGATATTCAGGAGCCTCCTTCGGCTAGCAGGTACGACTTGGGGGAGCGCCGTCATGATGTGGAATCCGTCCAACTGTGGGAAGAGTCTTGTCTGGTAGTGAACCGCGGCACAGGGCAACTATAAGCAATACCGCGGTTATGAGAACCAGTGTTCGGGGGTCAAGAGCGGCTGGGAGCTGAAGAAGCTGAAAAGCCACCAGCATCCGTGGCTCCAATCGCCAGGCAGGGCTGTGCGCTCGGGGATGATGGTTGTTACAACACTATTGAGTTTTCAGCTGCAAGGGATCCCAGTCCATACTGTCAATATGACCGTATTCATGAGCCTGGATCAGGACATTGCCAAACCGGTGGGTGTTGGATCCGACAGAAACCAACTTGCGCCTTGCTCAAGAAGTCAAAGCAGCAGCCGCAGCTTGTATGTAGCTTCCACCGACAGTAGCTCTGCCGGACGCGCCGAGTGAGCTTTGACGATGACTTTGTCACGTGGGGAATATTGCGCTTTACTTGGTGGCGTTGAAATAGTCATGTAGAATCTTATTTTCACTGACAGAGACTAGTTAATGCCTAGAGTAGGAGGCAAAAAGTATCTATTGAAATGAGGTACCTAGCTATAACGCTCTACGTTATGATGTATTGTAGTCTCTCAGTATATACTTCTTACGCAGATTAGAAACTATTCCAAGGTATCCCAATAATGTCGAAAGAAGTGTTGCACACCACAGCAGGCTCCCCAGAGCCCTCGATACTAAATCCACGTTAGCTATGAGGACTTCAAAACGAGGGCAAGTCGTAGCATTTGATACTACTACGTCGCGGCATTGTATTACTTGTTACAGTGCTTGGGTCACGGGTGTAACACGGAGGTCACGGTGTATGGAAGGCACAGGCCAGCCCTTGAACCTGACGATAGTTACACAAGGGCTCGAGACCTAGTCGGGGCTCGCTTGCTCACCGCTGCCTTGTATAAGTAAGGGGTATCTGCCTCTAGAGGCCTTGAAAAAACCAACGACCTTTGACACCAAAGCGAATTCTTAGCTGAATCGAATATTATTCCAAGCCCTTATGTACTAAGCCATTGTCACATTAGGCAAAGTTGCTCAGCCTACTCTCCTCTAACACCCTCGTGTGAGCTGGCATCAGCTGCTGGAGGCGCGTGCTCTCCTCCTTGAAGCTCGTGTTTTTTTCCTTGGAGGCTAGAGACCGTCTCATGGATCTTTGTAATCTCCCGCCGCCTTTTCAGCTCGTTGACGTCTAGGCCCAATTAGACCAGCCACATGTAGTCCGTGGCGAGATATATTTGCCCACCAGGAGGTACTCACTAGCATACCATAGCATAATGGAGCGCGATAGCCAGGTACTGGATCGGGTTCAATACTTTTTGTCTTCCACTGTAGGCCCCGTGTTGACAATTTTCCTCGCGTGTTCAAAGGAAGTCGTCTCTTCAAGCGCGGGTCTACACAACGTTCAAAGGTCGGAGATGGTCATGATTTTACCTCATGCGATTCATGTAGTCGAAGTATCATCTGAACTTCATAGATTTGGGAGATGACCAAGGCTGCACTTTATATAATTAGTGGCAACTTTGGCCCCGTTCGTTCTTTTAGTTTCCACGTTCTGGTTCCAAGCCTCCGATTCTTGAACTTGTCTGGTGATTGATACACTTCACTTCACTTCACTTTTACCGGTGGAGAAACTCCAAAAAGGGTAACTATAAACCTGTAGCATGTGTACATTCTGAAGCTTAGCTTTTGTCTCGTCAAAGCCTGTGAAAAGGGCTCGTTTAAGGGCTTAAAGAAAAAGGGCTCAACTCAATGATAATCTTGTAGGATGTCAAAGGTCCTTGGTGTCCCCAAGCCGTGAGACGAGGATGGACGATCTTATATAATTGAAAGGAACGGCCCGTGCCTAGTGTGCCCCATAGTTCTCGTGATCTTATGATGTAACAAAGGGCTTCTAATCCTTGCTTGACCTAATCCGTGTGACAAAGCCCATGAGTCCTTGTTATCCAGTTTCTGCTTTCACAATCTGTTCTCTTCCTTCGCTACGGTTTCTCGTGTTTTATCATTCCCTACAGCGGGCTAGCTTAGAGCTTATTCCCCAAGTGTTCAGGATCCTATCCCCTAAATGCAGCGAAGGCGGCAGTGAGGTCACGGGCTCCAAAACGCCCCTGCCACCGGCCGTATACCTTAAGTGACATTAATAATATTTGTATCAGGCCTAATAATGGTGTGGTTATGATATGTGTGACGTAGTTTCTTGTAATATGGAAGTTTATGGGGACTTTTCTTATCATATAAATTAAGTATAAAATTAAGTACCTTTTAAATATTAGCTTTTAATTGGCTTAAAATCCCTGTCGTGACCTCGCTGCCGCCTTCGCTGCATTTAGGGGATCTGCGGCAGCTGAAGCGGCGTCTGCTGTTTATAGCACGAGCTGTTAAAGAGATTTAGGTGGTGAGTTAGTCATGGATGGGTGGGCAATGTAGGTTATATGTGTTGCCTATTTTCCAGTCGTCCTGTGGCCAGTGCAAAGCAGATAGTTGCTTGCACTGCCTTCAAATTTGGTTGCCAATCTTGTCCATCGGATGGTGACTTACCTCCTAGAAAGAATGAAAGATTTCCTCTGTTAGTTTCAGTGCGTCGGTACATCGCCGCTCGATGTTCTCGCCATCGTAGACATCGAAATAGAAAATGCGCTACCGTCTCTGGCAGCGTCGATAAATGGCGTGTCTCGGACAATTTCACCGATCCCTACTACACCGTTGCGTCCAGAGCTGCTCACGGATACGCGAATGTCCCATTCTGTGTCTTGTTGTTTAGCCGCATTTTCATAGTTGAAGGCTTGAACTCACTTCTCCCACGGCTTTAGTGTGAATGATTGTATAGATTCCAGTTTGGGGCAAAAAGGCCTTCTGCTTTTTGCAAGCATCCTCATTCCCGCTAGGCTCAAATTCTGTTACTGGACACTCACCTATACGGCTAAATCGTAAGCGAATAGAAGTAGTTTAGTATCCTGTAGATTCTATTGGCCACTATGGACAGTGCGACCCACACGCATCGGTACCTGAAAGAACCCCTTTGACTCATGCAATTAAAAGCCCACATTTTTAAGGGTACATTAAATTCCTAGCAATTTACACTATGATTAAAGTACTCACATTCCTTCGAGTTACAAAAGGGCTACATCACAAGTCTCGCAGCCCCAACGCGATTGACGAGCTGTCCGGCGGCGATTGAGGGCATCGCGATATCAAGGTTAAAAAGGTTAAAATCTCTGCCTACGAGCCTTAATAGGTGGGTTATTAGGCCGGCAGGTGTTATCAGCTGCCTGCTCACGTGTGCTGTTTTCGTCATCTATTAAAAGTCCGCCGTTAAACACCTTTAATACGGCTTCTTGTGAGCTGCTAGAATGTTAAGACTCAGTAGTCGCCCGGATTTGGCCTGTCACCAAAGTCACTCGAGGTCAGCAGGTATTGTGGGTCCCGTGACCTCGTTGGAGCCTTAACTGCTCTGAGGGGATGCGCTGAACCGCTCAAGCGCTGCAGCAGAATGAAGAAACAATAACTTGAGCGGAGAATCTTTTTCACATGTTAGCAATAGTATGACTGCTGTCTACTGCCGGTAATGGCTCGCTATACCTGTTTGCTTGCTTGCTTGCTTGCAGGGGCGTGTATGCATTTCGTCACATGACTCCGCGTCAAGCCATCTCGCGACATCTCACGTCCCTTTTCTGCCCCTTTCTCCCCCCAAAATATCACGTCAAAGACTCTGCCATGGCGACGCGCAATCTACTCTCCGGCCCCATCACTTTATCTTCTGCTACAGGTCGAAGCGCTAACGTTCTTCACGCTTTACAATACCCACTACGTAAGCTAGCCTTCTACAGCTATATAGAAGGACATCGCGCTCTTCTAGCAGAGGTAATAGCACACCATCTGGGTATTAAGCCAACCGACGTTGATATTTCACCACAAGAATGGTGGCGACATGGATCCTTCAATCTTTGCGTACCACTTAAGGTCAATGTCAACTCTACGCAGTCAAACGTCCCAGAATTTGCTTTTATTCGCTTTCCCCTGCCCTACCGCGTTGGGGAAGTAACAAACCCCGGTAACTCAGATGAAAAGCTTAACTGTGAGGCGGCGACGTATGCATGGCTCGAGGAGAACTGTCCCTCTGTTCCTATACCAAAGCTTTATGGTTTTGGCTTATCTACAAATCAAAGGGTAAGCGTCTTAACCTTTAAATCCCCGTCTCCTAAGCTCATTATTCCGCTAGTTCACGAATGCCAGCCTCCTTCCCTGGTGGTCGCGCTGGTTTCACAAAGCTCGACGCTTTTTCCTAGCGACCTTTGGCCTCCAGCAACCTTCACAATATGTCTGCCACGCTTCGAGCCGTTTCGCAGACCTTAATATCGGTTATCTGCTTATCGAAACAATCACTTCGGGGGAGATGCTGTCAGAATCCTGGGATGAGAAGCGCGATGCTGCCCGTCTACAAAATCTACAAGGAGACCTAGCGAGAGTAATGGTCTCGCTTGCGCGTGTTCGCCTGCCCCGTATCGGACTCTTCCGCCTAGACAGTAACGGGTATTTACGCTTAGACAATCGTCCTATGAGTGTTCAAACTACTATGCACGAGAATGAAGGGCTCTCCCTACACATGTCGCGGCGTACAACATTCTCTAGCGTCAAAGATTTCGTCCTTTCTCAGATAGCGGCCTTTGAAACCCGATTTATTGAGCAGCCGAACGTAATAGCTAGCCATGAGGATGCTTGGTACCAGATGACTAGCCTAGCTGCCGCCAAGCTTACGATCCCGCAACTATTTCGAGACGACCTCTGTAATGGCCCTTTTGTGTTTTCCTTGACTGATCTTCATCGAAGTAACATATTTGTTGACGAGAACTGGAATATTACCTGCATTATTGACCTGGAATTCGCCTGCTCATGGCCGGTTGAATTTCTACAAACCCCGTATTGGCTGGGCGGTGGACTCATCGACGAAGTCACCTCTGCCGAGCTTGCGCCCATACACGCAGAGTTCATGGAGCATATCAGACGTGAAGAGAAACTACAGCAGTGCAGAGACCCAGACACAGAGCCAGTCTCATCCATCATGCAGCAGTCATGGGCCGACGGCACATTTTGGGTCCCCTTGGCACTAAGGGATCCGGTGTCTTTTACAGAAATCTTTTATAAGCGTATCCTGAAAGGCTATTTTGAATTTCCTGATGAAGAACTTGACAATGGCGCATACTTAAGATTCTGTTCCCGTTTTTTCCGCCGCAATTCATCTAGCATTATCGACCGCAAGCTAGACGATCGAGACAGGTACATGGAGAGCCTTACGGAAGCCTTTACCGATACCGCAGCGCGGTCATCTTGAACCGAGCTCGGAAAGTGTAACCATTCACTTTCAGCCATTCTTGCTCCCCTTTGGTGGCGTCGCGGGCCGAGCAGCAGATGGCCCACTACGCCTAGCTTTCTGTGCAGAAGTGCCAGATGATGACAGCTGCTTCACTGCTGCCGCAGGAATCGGGACGGCATACATGGGCTTCATCGTTGCGGTCCCAATCTCTACGCCTGAAGATGAGCTTGTAGTTCCTGGATCGGCATTGAAGGATGAGGTTGAGTTGCCCTTGTCTGCCATGTTCGGTCTGGGCGCTGGTAAGCAATGCTGTATTGACTGTAGGTGGATGCCACGTTGGCACACCCATCGGCGAGCAGGAGCGCTATTGGTTCGCAAAACGCCTCTTTGCGCAGCCAGAGAGGCGTCCAAAATGGCGCACGGCCGGGTAACTGGCCCTTCATCACGAGTAGCCATGTAACGCATGTCTTGTAAGCTGTCGCTTTGCATCGAAATGCAATGAGCTTCGGAGAATGAAAACTGTCTGGGTTCTCTTCATAAATGTACAAGATGCCGGGTAAAGACTGCCGGAGGCGGGACTAGCTTTTGGAAAGAGCGGTTCCTGGGGAATCATTGTAGTATTATTGGTAATTAAATGAGTTTTTGAAATCGCAGGTAGTTCATGCGATGAAGGACACCATCAAAAGTTTTCAAGCACGGTTAATCGGAGCATCGATCGGACAAAAGATCCCTGTGAATCAGGGAGACTCTTTGAGTTCTACATAAAAGAGTGGAGTCATAGAAAAGTGAATATTGCTGCCAGCAAGGCAGCGTTATGGCAACTACTATTGCCTATCAGGCCATCACATATCGCGCCTGCGTTGAATGAGCAACTTGGTGTTGATATCAGCAACCTCTTCCACCCTTTCTTCAGTGAGACTAGTGACTAGAAGTGCGAGAACCAGAGCCACACTCTCGCACTGACATGTTTGAGCTTGAACCGCCGCCACGTTCGACCGAATGTTCCTCCTTCACTGTGCTCTCAATCCACTCCATCCTTTCACAAAGGAGCTCTACGCTTACTTTGACCCAACCGCGCTCGTTTACTTTTGCATTCGTACGGGTTAGGACATGTAGTCATAGTAGGCTCATTGACCTTGTTGGGATCATCGGCAAGTTGATCATCTCACGAAAGTGTCAACGCCGTTGGTGTGCCAGATGAACATGAAGATGCCGCTAACTCTTGTCCTGCACCAGGCGGAGTGGAAGTCTCTGCCACAACGGGTCACCAACAGCACTCAATGGGACATGCCACAAAGTGTTGTATGGGCGATCCGCGTCTTTGTACGAAGATGGAGTATGAGAGAAAACTTTGACAGATGATGTGCTGGGGAGTCCATTGTTGGACTGAATTTTATGAGCAGCTGCCGTTTCTGATGTGTCGTCTTGAGAGACAGTTTTGGCTTTTGGTTCAAGGCAATCGTTCAAGTTGATGCCCTCGTTAGTGCCCAACGCCAGCCAGTCTTCCTTGGTCATCTTCTCAAGGCTAGATCCCGCGGGTACGTCTTGGCTAATGTCCCATGTTCCCGCTGGAAACTGAGATGTAGACAAATAAGTTAAAATAAAGAAATAATATAATTTATGCTCTTACTTTAACTTGAATTTAAAAAAAAATGAATAAATAAAAATTTAGCTTTTTTTAATAATAATAAAGCTACTTTTAAAGATAAAGGTTGTAGAACCAACATGTATATAACCCCACTCAGTATTGAAAAAGAAAGAAAGAGAAAAAAGACTCATCCGGAACATGGATAACAAAAGGTTATAATTATGGTGCTCAACTTGTTGACAGACAATTCGTTCTTCTCTCCCCCACCATGAATTGCCTCCCACAAGATGGGTTGCCCAACATTGCAGTGAATTTCAGATCCACGCTGTAGGAGCATTCTGACTGACGCGTCATGGCCTTGCCTAACGGCAAGTCTAGGGGAGATCTACATCAAAGGGCCGTACTAGCGCCTCTTTTCAGCAACAAGCTGATAATTGCGTCTTGTTCGAGTGCTGCTGCTGGACCGAGTGGTGGATGCAATACTTCACAGATCCAACTTTTAATTAGCACTTTTCTGAGAAATTAGCTACAGCAGATGCCCGTGGTTCTTGGATTCAGCCCAAAGTACTGGACTCCTCTCGCTCATAGGTTTGTGCATATTCTCAAAATACCGGCAGTCAGATAGGCGTGCATAACCACTCCGGCCATCTAGCTTGTAGAGTAAATCGATGATGTGTTTTCTGTTTCGTCTCCTTTGCTTTGACCATATTGGCTATGCAGAAAGTCAAACTATCGCGCCAACATTTGTAGTATCTGTATCTGTCGCATAAGCTGTCCTGGAAATCATGGGAGACTGGCTCTCGTTTAGAATATGCAAAAAAGCACAAATCGCTATATTACTCTTCGTGTATAATGCCGCAAACATTTTTTCACTGTAAGACATGACATGGGCTCTGCATGGCATCTGATAAAGTTTACGAGGCCATATTCTGCCAAATGTAAATCAAACTTGCGTCTTGGTACCAATTCACATTTCCCGATATAATATATGGAGATGAATCCGCTTAACTCGAGGAAAGCTTGGCATGAGCTTGCCTGGTCGACTCCGACGGCCTGAGCCAGGTTAGCACGGAGTACGTTTTCCACAGCAAATTGGCGGAATTTATTGGAGTTGCGAGTTACTCGTGCTTATATGAACGCATCTAACTTGTATATTTGTAAAGTAGGAACTCCATCCGACTTAATACAGTTAACGCATCGTTGCTTCAGAAGTTTGTAGCTCCTTGCTTTTGCATCTTGGCCCCTATAAAAGAAGATGTCTTGAAGCCCGTTTTCTCGAAGGTAGTCTCTGACTGATCCATGGATGAATTAAACTATTATAGTTAACATTTTAAGCTCAGTAAGCCTTTGATGATAGACAATATAATCTTGCCTGCCTTTTGAAAAGAGAGAATCTCAGCTTTAGTAGTAAGGAGTATTACAAAGTATAGCCCCCGGGCGTTATTGGCCGTGTTGTGAATAGGATCCATTGAATGCATGATAGCAATATATCTGTGTTTTTCTGATTTCGTTGTAGGATTTCGCGAAATAAAGCATGGAGAGTTTCGGGGATTCTCGAAGCCTCTGCTGTAGCTTATGAATATCACTATCCGCAGTCTTATTCAAGATCTCCAAAATGGGATAAACCCATAGGAAACCTCATGAGTGTATTTCACTGTACCGGGCTCTCCTTTAATCCGTAAAAATCCGAGGTGATCCTTCCGTCGAGTCTGGTCGAGCCAATTGTGATATTCGTCCATCTGCAACAGCTATTTACAGGTCCTGGCGTGGCAATTGAGAATATTCCCGTGACGGCTGTTCAATTTGTCAAACTTGAGCGAGAAAGTATGTCTTTGGACATGGACGACCAAGATCTGGGAATCTGCCCTCTTTTCTTGACGGCTTGATAGAATTCTTGCATAAAAAAGCCCCCGAAGGGACGAAGGGATGCCATGTACACGGAATGTTTGAGGCCTACTTTGACGATAGTCATCTCACCTTTATACTACATATTCCTGCTATGGGGTGGAAGTTGGTCCACGAGGCTTTGCCACTGCTCTGCCAGCCAACTGGTGTGTGAGCAGCCAATTCACATTAATACATTCGATAAGTCGCTCCCCAGAAATAAGCCGAATCAGTTCCTGGCACAGTCAACGGGAAGCCAAGCGCATATTCTGCGAGAATTCGGCGTTGGGGTATGAGAGTAGTAAAATATACCGAGTAGATTCAAAATGCACCTAAACTAACTAACGAAATATTCGCAATCAAGGACAATTGACTCATCATCAGCGCCGACGGGTCTTGTTTGCCTCCTTTGGCAACTTCGTCGCCCAGAACACTAGTCCTGAATGGACGCCTTGCCAGTAATAGCGTCGAGTCCCGTCTTCTGTCCGTTCCGTCCATTCCTTCAACTCTGTCTTAATCTCCGTCCCCTCTGGCGTCTCGAAGCAGACTTTTCCTTGGCGCCCATACGTCTCCACCCTGTGAGAATTGCTAGAGCCCGACTGTCCCGATACCATGGCCTGCCGGGAGGAGCGCGTAGTTCGCCGTGCCGGAGGTGTTTGACCTTGAGACGGGTGGTTTCTCTTGGAACTAGACGGCGGACTGCTAGAATCCCTTGGGCGTTTAGGCTGAGCTGTGTCTGTAGTGAAAGTCGTGAAACTGGATTCAAAGCTCATTGACGGGTCATCGGAAACCAAGAGTGCTGGTTCCTGACTCGGCTTTGGTGAATCTTCCCGGGGTACAGCAGTGGCTACCTCGGCATCGTCCTGTTGATCGGTGCCGTCAGCAATTTGTTGCTGAAGCGCGTAGTCCGCATCCTGCCAGGCAGTGTAGGCTGTAGGATCTTGAGAGTCGTGCAGCTCCAAAGGGCCAGAGATTTCTTGATGTATTTCGGCAAGGTCTTCTTGTACCGCTGCCGTCGCCAGGTCTGCTCTGGCGTTCGCAGCCCGAATAAAATTATTCCGGTGCCGCTCTGCCAAGTCCCTGACGTTTCTGAATGCCGTTGCGCCTGCAATGAATGTTTCACGAGTGTCCGTCATTCCAAAAGATCTAAGCTGCGTCATGTGGTACTCGGGTCGTTCCTCGGCTATTCTTGGCGCCGTGACGTGGTGAGCATAGAGCTGAAGAGTACCTGTGCTAGGATGGTAGGTCGAGGTGTAAGTGTAAGCATTGCTGTCATATGCCACCTCGGTTTCCCCGTAGTTTTGCAAGGCGTGCATGGCACGAGCACCATATGCTCCGTCATAGCAAGCCTGCCGCTGGGCTACGGCGGCATTCCCGTCAGGCCCCTTAACTTCTAAGAAGAAGTTAGGCTCTACTGGGACGCCTGGGTGCTTAGTAGGGATACCTGTTGACTGTATGGCTTGGTTATCCCTCATTTGGCGACTAAGGTCTCCTAGGCGAGCCCCATCAAAGAAGTCCGGCTGTGGCTTTACTGCACGCTCATTTGTTATAGGCTCAAGCTCAGTGAAGCGGACGTCTTGCTGGTTATGAATAGTAGAGTTACCGGAAATCACAGGAATGACAGTTCTCATAACGTCCCTCTCAAAAGTTGCTCGTGCATTCTTTTGTTTAAAGTCTCGGAAAGCTGGCTCAGGAAACGCAGATGGTGAAAGTGACGCTCTTGCATTTGCCAGCTCCTGGTGCATCTGAGCCAGGTTTGCAGGTTCAGGTGCCTCGTGGTCATAATCGTGGTTTACATGATATATATTGTGGTCGGTGAGATGCTGTTGAAAATCCTTGCCGTAGGCGGAAGACTTCTTGGTTCCAGGAACGACGCTACTTGCATTTGTCGACTGCGTCTGTCGGCTTCGAGACGGTAGAGAGCGACTTGAGCTCATATCGTCGGCAACGGTCTCGCATTCGGTATACTAAATCAGCAATTAGCTGGTAACTATTTAGGGGCGATTGAGTCCATACCCCGCGAAGATGACGGAGGTCCGGGCCGCCGTGTCTCGCAAACCGAGCAAGTCTTGCTGGATACAATTGGGGTACGCTAAATGTCGGCAAAGGTTGGGCGTTATTTCGACGGTCAAGCTCCCTCAAGGCACGCGGCGTAAGCAAGACTTTCGACAGGTTATCCCAAAATTCTGGCGAGAAGTTGCTCTTTTCACCAAGCTTGGCCCTCTTAGCCGGAGGATTGTGTTGCGAAGGCTCGTTTGCGCGTCGCTTTGTATTCTGTGGTCTCGCCATGAGCGGCCCATCGTTCGGGGTTGCCTGAATGATGAGCTATTCTGAGGGGAGGCGGGAGGTCGCGGTCGGGGGTCAGCAGGTGATGTCGGTCGTGTTTGAGCTGGCGGCGCTGGATGCAGTCAAAAAAGCATTGATTGGAGATGCAAACGCGTCGTGACTCGTGACAGCTGCGTGCTTCTCTCATCCAACCGTTACGCGCTGCAGCCTGCGTTGGGCCGCCGTTGGCAAAGGTCTGTGGGGTTTGGCCGTCCCGGACCCTGTCCACAATCCACCATCCACCTGACTTGATCTGCATCTCTCCTACATAGGCAATCCTGGTCCACGCCCAGGCACGACACCCTGCGCACTCTGACGTTGAAATGTGAATGACTGCTTTTCTTGTCGTGCAGAGCTGACGGAAAATGCGTCCAACGACATCCCACACCACGACCTTCAAGCCCACTCCAATCCGTACTGTGGCTCTTTAACCCTAACCCTTGGCGCGTCCCTGCCTCTGATATTCTTTCCCCAGATCGCCTCGCACCTTTGCCGTGATGGGGCCGGACTTTGGTTCATGTCAACGGCCGGGGCGGCGGCGAGTGCGGCCCATGTTCCCGGACTCTTTCTTACCAGACTTCCTGATGGGCCATTGTGCAGCTTTCAACTTCTTGATTTCCGCATCCTGTGCCTGAGACCACTGAAGATGCATCGGAATATACACCCCGTGGTTGTCCCTAAAGATATTGCCAATGATGATGCGCACCTATGCATCTGACGATTCGTCTGAGCCTCCCAAGCTGGCCCTTGCATGCGTCCGTTGCCAAGGTGAGTTGCGACAAAGCTCACCCATGCTCGAGGGTTTTCACGGTCACAGTTACCCCTATGCTCTAGACTACCTTCCCGTTGAGTTCTGATGTCAATTTCGTCCCAAGTCGAATGCGTACCCAGCAAAGCCGCGGTGCGAAAATGGAGGCCATCCAATGCTACCTACACTCCACGAACGTCCTGCAAGATGCGAGAAGTTTCTCCAAAGCATGCCGCCAGCTTCAGGGCTAGGGACGTACTTGGGAATGTATGAAACGTATATCCAAACGACAGCCAAAGCGTGGATATCTATCGGCCTACAGGATAGTTACCATTTTGTGGAAAGCGATGTTCGGGCAAGAATCTACGAGGAGGTTTGTTGAACATTGACCCCGAGCCTAGCCATGTTTTCTCAAGACTAAAGTTTATTACATACAATGGATGCGGAATTTACTTTAGTCCGAGGATCCTGATATTACTGACAGCAAGGCAATCCTAACCACAAATGATGGTTATTTCGACTTCTTCTTCTCCCATTCCATATCTCGGGACATGCTACAGAACCCCCTTAGGCCGACTCACTTATTTCAGTTGTGGCAGATCTCCCGGATCTCGTGAAACCCTCCAGCAAAGTCGTCCATGTGCCAAGTGTACAGCCCTTGCTTGTGCAGGCTGCGTCCGACATGGAGAGCATTATCGCTCGAACAGCAAATCCTCCTGCTCTCCATATGCACTGCTGGAATTGTTTCTCTTTCCAAAGACGAATGAGTCAAGCTACTCGGACTGGGATGGATGGTTGCTTCTTTACAATTTTCAGTCCGCATAAAGCTGGCTATGAAAAAGTTTAATATTATGAAATACCGTAACATGGTTATGTTTTAAGCATTGCTATTTTAGCCAGTGTGCATCGTTTTTGCTTGCCCGATAAATCGATGTATACGCAACTGACCAGTGGTATATTTTCTTGTCGACTTCCCCGGAGATCACGATGCAGCATGGACATTCAGCAGCATCATCGTGTGGGTCGCGCAAAGATGGGACTTCATCACGGCGGGAAACGACTCGACATTGCTCCGTTCGAGGTCGAGATGCGAAGGCTCATTTGGTGGCAAGCAGTTGCAAACGGGTCCAGACTCGCCATATTATCGAGCCAGCAGCCCGTGCTTCCCAAAAACTGGGATACAAAGAAGCCTCAAAACGTCAACGACGCCGACATGTTCCCGGGCTCACACAGGCCAATACGGTCGCGCGACGGGCCGACAGAGATGGTACACGTGCTCCTTATGAACTACGTTCACGAGATGTACATATCCGGGGGTGGTTTCATCCTACAATCTGGAGAAGATGCGCGCAAGGGCAACCCGCTGAACATGAATGCCCAGCTGACCCTACAAAGGGCCGAGCACCTTGCAGGACGGTTAGAAGAGGGCCTGCACGACCTCGAGAGGCAATTTGTAAACGGGGCTGTTGGGCCCGTTCACACGGCAGCGCTTGTTCTACGCCGCTTCATGACCGGCGGACTAGTTGACGTGTTTGTGCCATTGATGGACCAGCCGGAATGGGGAACGGAAATACTCGGCCCCAGGGATCTGCTATTCAACTGCACAATTTCAGTTTGATATGAGCAGATAGAGCGGGTTGGGTTCTCATGGGTTGTCAAACTACATCTACAGCTTGATATGATGGTGAGAGTGACTTCCCACCTTTGCCAGCGTCCCTACGGCTCTCTTAGCGACCGTGCACGGAGCCTTCCGGGCAAGATGTACGAGCAGCATGAAGAACTTTTCGACATGAGCTACGAACGCGCAAGGTTGTTGGCAAAATGGACCCTTCTGGCGTGGAAGGTACGCGAGAAACGGCTCAATCAGACGGGAGAAGAACTTGATATGTCACCTTGTATCTTTCGACTCCTGACTTTGCACCCGGGCTGCGGGTTGTGTGTACTCTGTAGGTGATGAGCGGCTTGGATTCGTGCTATCATATTCTTTACCTATGCAAAGCTTGGAGATAGCATCATCATACCAACACTATGATGGAACATTTGGCAAGAATTTTGGGTCGTTTTGACGTATTAGAATCACAAACTATTAGAAGAAGGACGATCATATATCTTTGATATAATCTCGAGCATGGACGGGCAATGTTCCCACCCGGAACATACACTCCATCGCATGACTGAGTGCCCCTCTTACAGCGTGTTTAGATGACAAATGAATCAGGCTTCCCGATAACTACCCTGGTGCGGATGCCAGCAGAAGCCGTTGAGCTCAGATCTGTGCTCCGAAGCTATAAAAGGCGTGACGCTATTAACAGTTGTCGGCCGCCCTGTCTAGTTCGTCCCGGTTCGCCGGTTCCCTATGTAGATCTGAGAATCTGGCCTTGATGTCCTGCGGCAATGACTTGCATGCCCCCCATGACATGACAACGTAAATGATCCAATTCCAAAATCCCTGCAAGGGCAGCACGAAGGCACTCATGAATACGACGGGGGCATAAGGCTGACCATTGTGTGCCATGGAGTAGACGCGATTCGCACTGGCAGGGATCCAGGTGATGAGAATGGCTGAAAAATAGAGCAGCGCGCACTTGGTATAGGACCAGGCGGCGTTTTTGTGTTCGAAGCTACGGCGCCGAGCGAAGCTTTGCTGAGTAGGGCCATGCCGACGCGGTTTGGCCCGGCTGGCCGTTGTTTTATCGTCACGTCCCTGGGTCTGGCCGGAAAAGACGGCATCGCCATCTGCGGACATTGTCGCCGCGGTGCCGTTACTAGCCGTGACCTCGGGGCTGGTGCATGACGAAAGATCGTAATCCGAGCTGAGGTCGTGGACCTGTCTGCGGATCTTGAAAATGGTGCCCGCCGCGGCAATGTAGATGGAAAAGGTGATGAGGATCATGGTCCTAAACAGAATCACTCAGCAATGCAAATCTGGCAACGCAAGAAACCTAAGCCGTGGCTCACCACACAGGGCCGTAAAAGGTGCCGATGCGGAGGCCCTCGAGCTCACTGGTAACCCAGCACCATAATACGGCATCTCCGTAAATCCGCTCGCCATTGTGCCGGACGAAGAGATATGTGAATGCGGGGATGAATGGAATGCCGTAGCAAGCCGGGAGGTAGATGAGCTCCATTTTATGCAGGCGCTTTATATCGAACTTGCGGTACACGGTGAGGTAGACATTGACAGCCATGGCGAGGATCCAGCCCACGTCGGCAGCCATGAACCTGGTGATGGCTATTAGCGAGATTACACACGTCGTTTCGGTGACACCAACCATTGGACCAGCATGGCTTGGAACTGGCATCCAAACGAGTCCAAGTTGCCCAGGAAGGACCGCGACATCAACGTGCCGACGTTGCTTGCCATGTTGCCGAATGATGCGTAAAACACAAGCCTGTTGACGGGCTTCTCTCGAAAGGTGCTGAAGCATGTAAATGTTGTTATGGTGAAGATACAGCCCAGCAGCGAGATGGCGGAGCACGCCCGCTCCATGATGCTGATGGCATTGAGCTGGCTCTCTGTAAGTGGACTCATGATGGCCAGCCTCTGCGACGACGCCGCCGCCCGACGCTAGTTACACGAGGTCTCGAGATTCGTGGCCGCTATCGGAGCACACTTGGAGTCGATATGCTTGAACATGATTGACAGGGCGGTTGGAGGTTGCGCGGCGGATGATGCATTGGCGGTGGTCAAGGTTCCGTAGCAGTGTGTCGGTGTGACGGAAAACGGCGAGGTGGAGGGTTGAAGCTGCTGTGACTACATGACGAGGCCGCGCCTTGACTCTGTCAATGAGCGAGTATGAAGTCTGGAGATGTGTTCTTGGGTAGAATGATGATGATGAGCGTCACGGTGGCTGGGAGATGGGAGCTGTTTTGAAAGCTGAGGCGCCGCCCACGTGATGCCGACCACGACCAGTTGACGTTCCCTGACTCAGCTCAACGCCATGAACAATGCGGTGGAAAGTATGTTGTAGCTGGAGATTCCGAGACTCGGCAAGGATTTTCAGCGTTGGTGGCTGCTCGGAAAGCCATCATCTTGGACGCAAGTCCCGACGCCTCCACGGAGCTTGGTCCACGATCGGATATGTCGCAGAGTGGCCGATGCGTGATGCGGAGTGGGCAGAAGGGCTCAAGTGGAAATACGCTTATCAAAAGCTCGGGTCTATGGAAACGAAGGTAATATTTCAAGTCCCGGAACTAGACTACTCCGACGTTTCCCACCTTTTCCAGGGAGGCGTTCATCATGCCGGCCAAAGAAGGGGACTCGAAATGTCTTGTTTGGTCTATGAGACAGGGCCCACGACCAAACATTGCAAATGGGATCCGAGCTCTCGGATTATTTGTTAGGTATTGAACACAGTCTCGGCTATGTTCCTCAACTGTCATCGCTAGGGAAGCCCCGTGCCCGATATCCCCTCACAAGCTAGATGGTCGACATTCATACACTTTCTCGAGAATTACTCTCCCCTGGTGGGTTGGGTATTTCCAGCCGAATGCAGCTTCACATTCCGTAAATGTCACTTTGTCCTCTCCCAAGTCAGAGGTAAAGTTGTTACCCATCACATCACCACTTTGTCGCCCTTGGTGTCTAGCGCTTGGCCGGACAACTCTGTACCACAGCAGCCTGAGAAAATTGAGGCATTTCATCGAGTCGATGCGATAGCAGAAGCTCCGTCCATCCGGTCGGCCACGGCTGGAGCAGTGCCGGGCGCACAGCCAGCTATTGACGTGATAGGCCTGCGTGCATGCCACCAACGTAATAACCGCCGCCATCCAAGATATTGTGGACAAGAGTACTGGGTAGCCTTCCCGATTCCGGGACCGCCTCCGGTAGTTGAAGAATTGCACGGGGTTGGCTGCAACCGGACCAGATGTTGTGGCGGTCGAGTCGCCGCACATCCAGACACGTGGCCACAATTTGCTCTGAGCAAGCCGTCAAAGCAAAGCTCTTTTTTTCCTGGCCATGTTGGGGCTGCTTGCGCTACCTGATGTTTGTACCAGCGAAGCCGCCCTGAGACGGACTATTGAGCTCGGGCGAGACACTGCATGCGTTGTCCGGACTACTCAGCTCCCATTCCAGAGGATTGTACGGAGCACTCCGTTTTGTCTTTTCACTTGCCGTCCTCTGTTTCCCAGGTACTCAGTGCTGTCAAGGTACAGCGAGTAGGGCGAGCGGCGCTTTACAAAGGTCAACTGGTTCCAGTCTCCTCTCATCTCTGCTACCCGAAGGCCATCTGAGACTACGACTTCGCCCAACCACATTGCCGGTGACGGATTTTCTCATGCCCTTGTTAGAAATTGTGACTGTGTGGTGAGAAGAACTGGAGTCAAGCTTTTTGAACTCAATTTGACGCACAAATTAGCGTAACGTAGGCGCTACCCTTAGTTTAGACACATGGCACGCGAACTCCAAGAATCCGTGTCATATCCATACAGGAATCCTAGCAATAAATCGTGATGATTAGAGACTCACGGCAATCCCACAATACTGTTTGTTTATACCCAGAAAATGCTCAGTATCTGTTCCATATTGTGTATACACTCGAAAATAGCCAGTGAGGCGGCACAAAGTACTCCGTAAAATCCCTTCCTTTGAATTTGTGCCGCGTTTACCGAACCGTGTCAAAATTCCAGGCCAAAAAATTGACCACAGCTTCCGAAATGACATCCAAAATATGCGAGGCGCTTCAAGGCATGGTATAGGGCTCCCTCTTTTGAGGTATGCCGCTGTTACCACTATCGTAGAATGAGATTCATCCCTAGGACGAGTCATGTTTTTTTAGTGAGAAACTAAAGCAACGTTCCATACAATGTTTCATACGTGGAGGAATTTGTGAAAAGCCTGATGTTGCTCCAGGGATTTGCTTTTGCCAAATGTGTTCGTCTGATATGGGGATCGATGTACTCCGTGTTTGTCACATCTCAATTCTGCACCTCTAGGCCCACGACCCAGCTTGATACTGCAAGCATGCCAGCTGAACTGAGCTCACCAATACCGAAGCATCTCAAAAGCAGGTCTGAGATGACTGCGACGCCAGTGCATGTTGTTATGCAGGTTTCGCATCCGATGATCTAGCCTCGTTTTAGCCTTGGGGCCCAAAGTGCCAGAACCCCATTTTTCAAGACTGGTGAGATATTTGGCTGGCCTACAGGAGTATCTCGCAAACAGTGGTGTTGGTTTTGCTGGGACGTGCCGCGGCATCTCCCACTGAAGGTCGAGGCAGTTTATACTCTCGTGCTTGAATTAGCCTAAAAGACTTTGATCTTGTGGCTTTAGCCAGAGCTTCTTGGGATTGTATTCCCTCTCTTTGAACGATCGAGCGCTTAGCGCTCCTGTTGTCCATCGATGGTATTGTTGTACCAAGTAAATTGAAGGTTCGGGCTCAAATGAGGAGGAGCGGCTGATGAGTCTTAGGATCCGCCTCTAGATTCAATGTTTTATACGTCTGGCGTGCTTGTTAAAATACGCTCTGTTCAGATACTAGAGCGTATGGATTATGACATTTGACAATGACTATAACATGCCTTCAAGATGTGAAATCTCTAGCTTTCACCGTCTACTTCCTCAGCAATAACTCTCAACGGGTCACAAAAATCATTGCCCCCGTGCCAATCCCCAAGCCCTTACGAAGAATTACAATGTTAAGTAGCCTGAATTGAAATACTCTCTGCCACAATCCTCATCATTAAGCTGATAATATGTCAGGAGTCTTAATGAGTATTAGCAGTTTTCTTGGGTGGGCGCGGATTGCCAACATCCCTCCTCTTAGCTGAAACGGAATAGCTTAGTGTATACACAGCGAAACCAAGTGTCGGACGCTTCTCTTACTATGAGCTTTGAGAACCGCATCCCGAATCATATCTTCATCGGGATCGAGAAGGAACCCAGCTAGGTCAACCACATATGCTAGCACCCAAGTGACTACCACCGCAATTAAAAGCCCCAAGACGGTGCTTGTCATTCTCTTTGGAACATTCCAATCAGGGTGAATGGGCCTTGGAACCAGCTGTACTTGGCAACGAATCGCAATGTGATTTGGAGATCCCCTGGTAGAATAATAGAAAAATTATCAACTTGTCGAGTAGGGATGAATTTGCTCTCCTTCAAGGCAGATGACAAGGTGAAACATGACGGCTCTATCGATGCGCATTTATTTGTCTGATCATGGTAGTACCAAGACAGCCCTGTGACTTTGTCAGCGGATGACATGCAACGCCATCCCAATCATGACTGTCTGACAGGTCGTCAATCACGCGGCCATGCATTAGACAGTGATGATTGGGTGTCATCTTTTTCAGCCTGGAGCATCCAAGGCCATGCTGTTTGTAAGAAGACAAAGAATACCTTGCGATATTTGCCGTGCAGGAAGAAAATGAATGAAAGATGGCCTGAATACTGGCTCGTAGGAATAGCATGTAGTCAAATGGTAGATATCAGCGTGCCGGCAGGGTGTACCGTGACACTGAAATTCATGCCTTGACATACCAAATTTACACTTTATCCCCTCAAAATGAGGTCTCGTAAAGTAAAAAACATAATCTACTACGACGATGGGGTGCGGGGAAGTATTGATGCTACGTAGTACAACCGTCATGAACAATTCTGCGGAATGTCTCACAAATTACACGTCACAGGAGGAGCAGTGTGCAAAAAGTGAGAACCGAGGCAAGGAGACAAGGCTGAATTGGCTGAATTGGAATTGAAAACAGTAACGCTGTTACATGCTAAAGGTTTTTGACTCATATATTATTCAGGGAGTAACAGGTCAGCATCTGTGCATAGATAATTCGAGGTGCTCCTGAACTGGTAGTGCACGCAGCTTTTACATCACGGAGTATAGAGTACTCCCTGCATTGCCCATTCTTCCGCAAACACATTATGTCCGAAGTTTGCTGCCTATGGCCCTCTCAGCCGCGGCATAGGAGTTAAGCCACGGAGCACCTCCGAGACATTCATCATATACCACCTTGCCGTCGAGACCAAAAATTGATTCCATAATGAATCATGGGATACACGCGAAAGAATTTTATATGCAGACATGGCATCAGGATTAAAGGGGGGCTGCCGCCATGCGCATTTCCCGTTTTTGGCTCATCAGCCTTTCGTAAGGAGGCGGTATTGTGACAAGGGCTCGGTGAGGGCTTGGAACAATAGCTCAACTCATCTAATAACAGTCTTTGGTATCAAAGGTCCTTGGTTCTCAAGGTTACAAGTGACTTAAAGGTCTCTATAGATACAAGAAGTCGGTGAGGGTCTTTGCCCTAGGTCCCGTGATCGTAGCCCTTGTGTAACCGCGTGACTGATATCCATGACTCCGGCTTCAGTAGGGGTGGTGCGTCGTACGGAGTACATGCCCGGCTAGATGGTCTCCTTCTACCTGAGGTAAGACATTCCAGACATCATCAAGTATAGTTACAGCCTATGTGCCTATCTTACAATTTCGTTCCGGCCTTGCTCTAACTGAGGCATATGGCAGTACCACAAGAAATGTGGCATAAGCATTCCTCATAGCTGCTAAGGAAGCCATTTTAAACACCGCCACAGGTCCTATCGTGCGATACTTGGCAAACGTTTTGACATTTGATACCACGCCTGGTTTGAGAGGTAGGCCTACATTTACCTCATATCGAAGGTGCCTGATATCATTTTCTTAGATATATACAGCGGCCCGTGTATTACTTGGAAGCCATCCTTGTTTCCGTCTGTCAACGAGTACGCAATCTAGGTCATCGAATGCGTCGCCTAGCAGGGCCTCTTCATCTAGAGGTTTCAAATTAGGTTGGACAGTTCGAAGTAGGCTGTACACTCTAAATTAGAAGTCGGCTAGCTAAACCCACGGAAAGGCGGCCATGTCGATGTTCAACTATAAAGAAGGCTTCAATTCCCTCGATAGATGGATTCAATCAAGGACCAAATCCACATTTAATGTGACACATAGATTGAACTCGTAATAGCGTCACTGAGCCCCGGCGTCACAACGTCCTTACAATTCACGATGAAAAAAAAACAAAACACAGAAAGCGCCGCTGTGTGATTGGACCTGCTGTGACAACGGCTGTGATGATTAAGCTCAATTCATCTAATAACAGTCTTCTGGTATTAAAAGTCCTTGGTTCTCTCCAAGGCCTAAAATGGCCAAAGAGCTCTATACAAGAGGTTGGTGAGCCTTGTGCCCTACGCCTCGTGATCAAAGCCCTTGCGTGACACCCGTGTGATGCCTGCGGTTACAGAACCGAGTGTGGAAGTATTCAAGGGCTGGGTGATACACTATACTGAGAGTTTTCGTACTCAGATAGACCTTCAAGGAAAGCAATTTTGCGATCGATCTAGGAGTTTTGCAGCAAACAGGTCAGGTTGGTGTCGCTACCTTGCTTTCGTCATTATTTCGGATCTTGTCCTTGGAGCGTATCACAACTCCTTGTGGAGCTCAGTATTAACATACTGGCCATACTTGCGACTTGGGAGGCTGGATACGTTGCCCTTGAAGAGGTCGGTAGCCGGTGCCAAGAACTATTGGGGATGGGTCATAAATGCTCAAAAGCACGTGCTGCATCTTATATTGAAACAGCTGACATGTTTTCGACCCCTCTTCTTGACACAATGAACGGTGAGACGAACGGGCCCATGCCCATGGCTGTGAACGCCGAGGCTGGACTTCACATCGTGGCCGGTCGGCTTACATCACCCGGGCGTACGTTCATTGGCTTACATTTTTTTATCATAGGCCTCGATAAAACATACGCAGAGATTGCTGGTCTTCTGTTTTATATTTGCAACAATACGAGTACGGGGATGGAATTGGCTACAGAAGTCAAGGGCACATTTGATGACGTACAAATTGGGCCCCAACCTGGGGGGGTGCGAATTATCTCCACACATGTATCAACAAGTCTCTATATATCTCCTCACGAATCGGATCCTCTTCATGGCGAGCAGTTGGCAAATGGGGCGACACAATCGATGGCTTTCTCATTGATGAGAGAACCTATGGTGGGAATGGGATTTATAGCATACATCACGATGCTGCGTGTTTGCCCGACCCGCACAATATCTGTCTAGAGCGATGAATCATTAACGAGGTTCCGGAGTCTGAGACATCTAAATTGGCATAATCGTTCCACTTCCTCCCGGGCCGAGGTCTTGCATCTGTGGTTCGCCGGCGCACGCGCAGTTGCCGCCAACGGTGGCAATTCTTCAGTGCAAATTCGATCTCCAGATAGCACCTGAACCAGGTGCAAATGCGGAAGCCAGCTCTTGTCAGAAATAGGCGGCTCGAACTGACACGAACAACCAATCTGAGTTCAAGATCATGAGCAGAATAAGTACTCACTATGAGGGTCCAAATATCCAGTTTCGACGACGCCATTCCAAAACCTCCGCCTCTTGAGAAGGACGTATAATTGCTAAACTTGATAGGAAAACGTGTCTTACTTAGTTGTGTTATATTTCATTCTATTATTATATGAGCAGGTATATTCTGTATATAGGAAACATATTTTACATTATAAACAATCTCCAGTCTGTCATGGAAAGAAGAAAGTGCTCGAAAAAAAAAAACCAATACAGTCAAGGAAAAGCTGTGGTAGTCTCTATTTTCTGCATCATCTCGATTCCGTAGCCCCAAATATCTCAACGACGCGACGCCTGTACGCCGTGGCGCTCAAACTTTATTCGTGAAAAAAAGTGTGCCAGCCTTTTCTGAGATGCGATAAAAATGAGGCTGTTCCCTTCCCCAGCCTCCTCAATGGTCCGTTTCTTCTGTGTATATGCGGAGCATCGTGGCCTGGTAACGCCATGGGACGCTGTGAATGCCGGGTCATCGACGTGTCGTCGGAATCTTGGGAAGGCGGGATGGCTTCACTGCTCGCGTTGTAGCTGCTTGTGCCACACTCGCTAGGCTCTGCCGGCCCAGAAACTCTCCGGGATGCAATGTCTCCGATGTGCCGGGGAGTAATTGCCAGGTCGTCCCTCCGGGTCTCAACACAACTCTCAATCTTATAACACCGTGTACTTAAGTCCGTGATAGAACTTGACTGAGAAGGCGCTGCGCATATCTCTTGTTGATGTAGACGATGACTGTCAATAGTTGTGGAAACGTGAGAGATGGCGCCGTCGAGTTGGTGATTCTATTCTGGCCCTATTTCCTTGGCCTGGCTCCCGTCCAGCATCGCCGATTGACTGTCGAAGCCTTCAAAAGTCTCTTCGTACCCAATCCCTTCCTCCGAATTGTGGCTTACTGCTATGGAAGAAGCTACCCGAGGCCTCAAAGAGTTGTCCACGGAGTTTTGTTCGAAGTAGTCGTTGTATTCGAAATAACATATGTCGTCGCTGGAGGAGGCCTCGTTCGCAGGCCCGGCGGAGGCGGGCTCGTAAAAGACAGATGCCCGAGGCTCTTCCATGGGCTCACCCTCAATGTTTTCGAGCCATCCGAGTAGCCTAGCCCTAGCGTCTTCATCATTAGGAAGGACAAGTTTTCCTACCGGTTTCTCAAGGGATCGGCTACCAGTCTTTGCCCATGGAAGAGCCCGAAGAGAAAAGTCATAGACGTGGCATAACACATGGACGATGATATCTGTCGAGTCTTCAAATCCCTTGAAGTCGCACAGGGGGCACGACGAGACCCCCATGCGTTGTACTTTAGACCAGGATAGGAGCGTAGGTAAGGTATAGTTTCTCAGCTCGTCTTCATGCTTATCCTGAAAATGGTCCACAATATCACTTCTCTCCGAGTAGACCAGATCAACGTCTTCGCAAAGAGGGCATTCCCATTGCCACGGGTGGTCTGCATTGACGTGCTCTTCCCATTCCTGACTCGTAGTAAATAACACCCAGGGAGTTGGGCACTCTTCGACGAAGCAGGTGTAGGGCGATAAATCCTCGAAAAGATGTTGCCTATAAAAATAATTAATAGTCTGCAGAATGCCAAAAGGTTTGAGGATAGAGCTTTCGCACCTCCACGTCCCAAGATCTTTCGCCTCTTCGCAAGGTATTGTTTGGCAGCAACAGGGACACTTGCAAAAACGGCGCTGAAGAGCGGCCTTTTCCATGACTGGCAACTCAGGGTCTAATGAGCTTGACGTCCTCTGCGTTCCGTCATCTCCTGGCCGGTACAAGCTGAACGACGGCTGCGTGTTGTTGGGACACTGTGTCGTTGTGGCGGACAAAGGAGATTCTGGTGGTAGCTTTGGCTCATCCTGCAAAGCTTGAGATGCCCTTTGTGCCAGCACAAAGCGATGCCGTCTTCTTAGATTCGCGTCAACCAGTCGCCGCTGCACGGTACTCAGTTTTGATGAGTCAACATGGCTCTGAATACCATTAGTGCTGGGTCGGCGTAGTATGATAAGCTCAAGATGTTGCCTTTGGTCGTCGAACTCTGCTGGATCATAGGGTAAAGGCTCTCTTTGATGCCGCGATGCTTTCCACGACTGTCTAATGGCCAAGCCCACCATGGATAGATTATTCATGGCCGCCTCAATGCCGTGGATGAATTCACCTGCTGCTTGTTCGTTTTCGGCGTGCGCTTCGTAATCATTTAACTCGTCAGAGAGCATGATTAGAATGTGTTTGATCATTACCAAATCGTCCGGCCTGGACTTGTATACCCGGTCGAGAGAGACTGTTTCTTCGGCGGTTGCTCTGACACTGTCCGCCCAGAGGCGCAAGCCTGCCAACATGCACTCCAATGCAATTTGATTCTCGTAATAACCTAAGCTTGTGCAATTAGAGAACATGGAGAGACAATCTTCTGTGAGAGCTCTCACGGTCGCGTCGGTTCGATCCGGTGTCCATAGCGGTTGGGTTGCCATGTCGTGCAAAGGGTTGGGTGGAAGAGGGAAGATGGAAGCCCTAAAAGAAAAAAAAGAGTCTGTAGTCAGCTTGAAAAGACGTTAGTAAACTGAGGCAAATATTTGAGCATGGCTCTGTGAGGTACCTAATGGGAGCAAGTTCGTGTCCTGTTCGGCTCTTGTGTTTCAGTTGTTTGTTCACGGATCGCCAAAATGTGTCAGTAGCCACTGTTTCCTCGGCGATGAGAAGCTATGATTAAAGGATGCACGATTCCAATACTAATAGGAAAGAAAAGTCAGATGAGGAGATTCCTGGATTCGTGTAGACGGTATCGCCACGAGAGGGGTTGGTACGACTATTGGGCTGAAATGGTCTGGTGAGATGCCAAAGTTCAACATTTTCAAGTCGCATAATCGGGCCGTAGAGCCGCCGGAGCGATAAACTCGTTCATCGCTCAGGCTCCAGTACCATGTTCGAATCATTCAATGTTCCAAGCCTTGACATGGCCACCTCAAATGTTTGCTACCTCCTGGGATCCTGCGCTACCCTTCTTGGCAAGGTTATTACTGAAATATGCCACAGGTCGAGGAAATCGCTACCAGATCATGCCCATCATGCAGCAGGTGAAATAGGGGCAAGGCTTTTCCTGATTGGATCACGTATCAAGGACATGCCGCCGTACTGGATTTGGCCTAGTTTTGAGGAACTTTCTCGGATCCTGTTCGAGAAGCTGGCAAGGATCTGTATCGCAAGTAATATCTCTGCTGTAACTTGTGATCCACGTCCTGTTCGGATGACTGACACCCTCTTCTGACCAGTGGCCGAAGAACATTCACATCTCGGAAGGAACTGTCGTCAGCGACTGCTACCGTGTGCTCACTGGCCTTTTAAAGGAAAAGAAATGCAGTGGACTAAAAGCGTCCATCAAGAACTTCTTGTCTGATAGCCAAAACCATGAAATTATAGATGACTTGCACGAAACCTGCCGAAATTTATACGAAAAGATTACTTTAAATGAGAAAGAGCAAATTCGGGGCTTACCAAAGGGTGCCAGAGACGTGCACGTAGGGGACTATTCAAACATCAGCAAAACTGTTTTTGAACTTCTTCAACTCAATTGCAGGTGTGACCCGACGAGACCCAACGCCTCACCTGGCGAGTTAAAGTGGCATCCAGCCAGACTCTGTCTGGATGAAGAATCTACGGCCGGTTACCTGGACGTCCTGGTTTCCTCGATGGACATGTCTTTCTGGCAAGAATTACGACTGATGCTGTAAGTGCCAGGATCACGGTAGCTGTGTGCGTGCTCAGGCTTACAAGTCGACTAATGTAATTAGAACATCAACAAGCAGCGAGTCTTCAGTACCCCAAAGAGAAGTACTTGACGAAGGAGATATCTGTGCTCTCCTAAGCGAGCCGACATTCGCCCGCCTTGTGTATTCAATTGACCGCGAAAAGGCCTGTTTCCTCCGGCTTCGCCAACCTCAACTTCCAGAGCTATTGCCCGCGCCAGGGAATGGGCTGTCACTGTCGGACATCCTCAGCCGCTATCGGCTCACCCCGTCACATAGAATTCTTCTCGCATATGTAGTAGCACACACTTACTGGCAATTCTACGACTCGGAGGTGGTGAGAACAAAATGGACGAGCGACACGATTTGGTTCATGCCCAGTACCAAGTGCGATGGCAGTGTAGATGGGGATCGAATACCTCTCAAAGCATTTGTATCTCTCCCATTCGGCACATTAAGCGAAGCAGTAGAGGAAGACCTATTCTGCAGCCAAGAACCGTTGTACCATCACTGCCCCCGCACCTTTGCCCTGGGAGTTATATACTACTTGAGATTGGGCTCCTCAGGCCGTTTCGAACTAAGCCGTGCCGGAGAAGGCTCTCCCAGGCAAACTTTGATTGCAAATTCGCTCAAAATGCGCTGATTGAACTCCGAGAGGCTTAATGGCCTGCATTTAAGGACAAAAGCTTTTTCGTTGATGCCGTAAAGTACTGCCTCGATAGCAAGAACTTTTCTCAGTACAATACTGTCCAAGAATTGGGGGAGCCTGAAATAGGAAAGGAAGTGAAGAAGGAAGGTTCTCCTCAAGTGAAGGGCGTAGAGGCCAGGCGGAAGAGTCTTTACTATCATGTCGTCCGGCCTCTCGCATGGCTTGCAAACAATGGATTTAGGCCACGCCTTGGGGACCGTGGATATATTAGCAAAAACCAGAGCTTTTCATCTTTGAGGTCGAGCGTCCGAACCGATGGCACATATCCTCATGATAGCGGTTTATTTCACTCTTCTGTTTCTTTGGGTCCTTTAAGATGGCTTCAGCAGCTGAAGACCATTAGCGCGTCTGTTGATGACATGCGACAGGCAACGTCAAGTACAAGGCCCGTACGAATTGCGATTTTAGACACAGGCCTCAGACTCTCTATTCCTTACTTCCAAGACGATTTCGATGGACCAGAAAGGAAGAAGCAGGTAATTTCCTACAAAGATTTCGTGGGCCAGAGTGATTCAGACATGAAGGACCTATTCGGTCATGGCACTTTCATGATGCGGCTTGTTGCGGAGTCCGCGCCGGCCGCAGAGATCATGGTTGCGCGAGTTGCAGAGAATACAGAAGGCCTCTCTAGCTGTCAAACAAATATCGTCAAGGTAAGTGGCCTATTCCTGATCACGCACCGAGTTGGCAAGCATCTCTACTGGTACTGACTAACGTGACGTGCGCAGGCGATACAATGGGCAGGTAGTGAGGGTGCCGATATCATTTCCATGTCTTTTGGGTTTCCGCGTCCCATAAAGGATATTTCTGACACAATAGAATCTGTTTCACGCCGTGGAGAAGGTGTCGTCTTTGTCGCCAGTGCTGGCAACTCGCCATATGAGGAAGAGGGCTTCCCAGCGTGCCACCCGTCTGTTATATCCGTGTACGCGGCAAATAGCCATGGGACCTTTTTGGAGTCCAACTCGCAAACCCCGAGTAAAAGGGCAGATGTGCTATGCGTCGTTGGTGAAGTGCCGGGGGAGATACTTGAGGAACTACGTGACGAGCTTCCTGGCATTTGCCAGGCTGGGTCGTCGGTATCTACTGCAATAGCTGCCGGTATCAGCGCCACGATGCTAGCCTACGGAGACTTTCTTCCTCACATCCTACCAGCCAGGCAGGGGTCAAGCGTGTACAAAAGAATGCACACATCTCGCGGAATGTAAGCAGTCTTAAAGGCAATTGCACAGAAGAAACCAAACGGCCGATGGTTTGTGAATCTGGCCAAATTTTGGCACAACAACAGCACGCACGCATCAAGGGATGATACCGTTTTCAAGAGCCTATGGGAGGTTCGCAGACGCTTGAACGAGGAAAATTAGCACTGGCTTTGTTCTACTTCTGTGAATATACCAGGCCCGGCGTCGATGCCAAGCCAAGACAAAGACGGGGTTTAACTATTGAATCGTGAAGCAAACGTTACAGTAATAGAGGATATCGGCCGGACATCACCAAAATATTACTCACAAGCATGCTCTTATAACTCCTAATACGGCAAGACAAGCATTCCAACAACGCCGGGCCGGCGGTGTTTTGGAATTAAATTTTAACCTTATACTAGAACGTGGAGTATTATTTGGTAAATAGTATAATTATTAGGATAACTTAACTTAGAAAGTGAGATGTATTATATAAACGCCTGTTAATTATATATAGCTAGTTTAAAACTTAGATTTACGTGAAAGAAATTTCACGTACTTAAAGTTAAGAAATATTTTTTTATATTTTTTTATATACTTTTATATACTTTTATTTACTTTTTTTTATATATTCCTATCTTTTATTAGCTTAAGAATAATATACTCGTATATACAATTACTCTTATATATAATACTATATAGTAGCGCTCGTATAACTCTTATAACTCTATTATTTTATATTATAAAATAATAATCTCTTTATAATAAGAATAAACTAGCTTATAGTATTTATTTTCAACTAGCTTTTTAATAAACTTTTTTAGTTTCTTCTCTTTCTCTTGTTTTTTATTTATATTTTTAATAGCTTTATTATAAGCTTTTATAATTATCTTAATCTTTTTAAGCTTTTAATTATAGTAATTATAAGGTTATTTTTAAGTGTCTCTTTTCCTTTATATAAGGCCTTTTTATTAATAATAATAATAGTATAAATAACAGCTTAAAGATTATATCTCTTATATTTTATATAGTTAAAAAATATCATGCGCGCACGAAGTTATCTGTAAAGATTAGAGTATTAATAAGAAAACTATATTTTTAATTTTTAAAAAAGCTTAAATAATTAATAATAAGTCTAATAAAATACTTAAATTGGGCACGACGATACATAAA